ATTTACGTTATCACCGTTTCCGCCCTATTCAATAGATATTCACCTTCTCTGTGGTCACCACATATGTCGTTTCTTAGATCGACAAAAACCCTTTTGCATCCAAAGAAGGCCTTGAAGGATCTGATGGCCAACGTTGGAGCCAAAATACACCAATTTATGATGGCTTGCAACTTATGCAAAATTTTCAAAATCGACAGAACCTCTAATCCGCCCACCCCTCGTGTTTCCGTCTCTTCTCCTAGCGAAAGTGATCACGCCGATCATACACCGGCTGCAATTCATTCACCAAAGAGTGTACCACCAGTTTTCTGTCCACTTCCCATTCAATACTCAACAGATTCTAGTGGTGCCGACGACACCGAAGACGAGGAGGAAGATGCAGAGGAAGAGGAAGACGAGGAGCAGGAGGAGGAGGAGAAGGAGAAAGAGAGTCATGTGTTGGACTATATTGTAACGTTTCCTGACTCCGACTCCGACTCTGGTGCTGATGAATTATCGAAGGTGCCTGAAGGGTGCTTGTGTCCTGATCAAGAATATACCGTAACATTTCCTGACAGTACCGACTCTGAGTCTGAGTCTGAATCTGATGCGGAGGAAGAGCAAGTGTTTGTCCATAAAGATGACTGCTTGAATTCTGATGATGGTGATGACCAACTTCACTTTGTGACGCCTCATCAAGAGGAGGACATGTATGCTCATCAGCACTGTGGGTTCCAATGTCATCATCACGATTATCATGGGGGCCGTCATCATCACGACGAAGGTTATGGGTACCAATATTATGGCTGGACAGGCTTTTACGGTGTTAGACAACCTCCATTCGGATTTACTACAATCTTCTTCCATTACTGACCCCCGATTTGATAGCATTTTATGTTTTTGTTTCGGGTTTTGCCCTCGGGATTTTATTGCGTTCTTTTCATCAGGTTCAGTATTGCTTGTTTGATTGAGCTACTTCATTGATTTGAAGCGTGTACTTGTGGGTTATGTCTGCGCATAAAGTGCTAGAAAATTTTTCTCCATTGCTTGCTTCATATGCTCTGCTCTGATCTGTTAATTTTAGGTTACTAAAGTGATTGTATGGGGTTTGCATGAATGCGATGACAATTTGCGGTCAGCTCAGAAGGTAACAAGTTAATGCTGCGTGTCTCCCCTCCACAGTGTCAAAGCCCAAAAGACGCATTCAATTAATGTCAAATCAGTAGTGCTTAATACCCAATTTAATTGCTAGGGTTACGCAATCGTAAGAATTCTTAATTTTTTTTCTTTTTTCTCTTATTCCTTCTAAGGTTTGGAATCTCCCTTTAATCAAAATAAAGAATCACTAGTATTATTTTGTTTGATAACTTCATACTGCAATCACTAGTTTTGTTTGGTACCAAATCTTTGTAATCAGATCTTTTAGTGCAAGAATGCCACCTATAAAATGCAAATTATCTACTTACACATTATCATTTTGCAAATATTACATGAATATAGGTTCATTGTAGATCTTTTTTTTTATGATTTAAACTGTTGCGGAAGCTTTACTCCAACAAGGCAAGTTTTTTTTTTATCTTCAAAAGGATTCGTGTTGTTCTAACAAGGTCCATTTTGAAAGAAAGTAATTTCAAAAACGCCTTTTAATACAGGGATAATTTTATTGAGCTCTCATCTGATTTTACAAATTACACCGACCTCTTTTGTTATAATAAAATGACTATAATGACCTTCACTTAATAGATAGTATAATGAAATGAGATTAAAAAAATGAAAAAAAAATCATACCTCTTTGATTAATCCTATTTACAAGTTACAACCAACAACTATTCCCTTTCACTTATTATCACTCCATTCTCATCCTGTAAATAGCTCTCAAAATCCTACCAACCATTGCTTATAACTTCCTCCAATCATATCACAAGTGATCCCTCTAAACTCTACTATATATCCCCATTCCTCTTGTCTTCCTTTGGATTAGCTAAATTACAAGTTCAGTTGAGGGATCAAATTTAATGGTTAAAGTAAAATTTGATTTTATGGTCAAAATAAAAGGAGATAAAGAGGCTTACAATAATAATGAAACAAATAATGCAGGCGTTGGACAAAAGAATAAGGCTGTAAATGAGCCGAGTCGAGTCGAACTTTAGGCTAATCGAGCAGAGCCTCGACTAAATTTTACCAAACTCGAACTCGAGTTCGAGCTCGACGAGCCGGCAATTTAAAGCTCAAGCTCGAGCTCCAAAAAAAATAAAAAATAATTATTTTATTTTTTTAAATAAATAAAATAATTTTTTTCTTAATAAATAATAAAATATTAAGGCTATATATGTAATTTTACTATTAAAATAAGATAATAAAAAATATATATATATACTTAAAATAAAAAAATATATATACTTAAAATAAAAAAGATAAAAAAATATTATATATATATACTTGAGCTCGAGAGCCGAGCTTAATATTTTGAGCTCAAGTTCGAGCTCGATTTCGACTCGAGCCAGTTCAAGCTCGACTCGAGGGTAAATTTGGTAATTTGTTTATCATTCGTCCATAATACTTTTTTTCAATGTTAATAACTGCATTTGGATTTCATTTTATGCTTTGCAATTGTTGGTTATAGTTTTACGATAGAGGTAGAGCTTCTTCTCTATATTTAAGATGTTAACATGTTTAGGGATTTGATGGTAGGTTAGGTAATTTTGTTTGAGATGGTGTGGGCATTGGATTTGAAATTTGGGGTGTGATTAGTTGTGAATAGAATTCTGGTTTTTGGGAAAATGAATTTCTTGAAGATCTCCGTAGTCATAATCATGCCTTTCCTTTTCTTAAACTTAATTAATCCCATCCACACCTAAATCTTCCCTAAGGATTTTCTTCAAAACCATAACGTGACTCACGTAGTTGGAGTTGAGCCACTTGTATGGAACCAAGTCATGGCATCCTATGTTGAAAATCATGCAAACATAAAGAGTAATTGATTGTGAGTTTGACTATTTCATGATAATATATGGTGAGAATATTTTTGAAAGATGGAACGAACCTTCAAGGTTGGATGCATGCTCATGCTTTGGGAGAAGCAATTTTATGATTGTGATGATGGAATTACTTGGGTTTGGATTTAAAATTAGCCTGTTTGTTAGTATAGTGGATTTGGCGGAAATATAGAAAAAGGCATTTGGAAAAACGTTTTTTGTTTCATTTTTTTAACAAAAAGGTAGTTTAGGATTTTTGTGAAAAACATAGCCTTTTGGATCTATAATGTTACATGAATAGTAAAAGCAAGGGAGGTAAATGCAATTTAATAAACTTGAGAGGAGCTCTTGCCATTGTTAGAAGCTTCAGTGGAGGTTTTCGAAATTATCCCTTCGACAAAACAGAGGTTTCAATAAATTTGAAGGTATGTAGAAATACACACAAAATTTTCTACCAAGCTTTTGGAAGAGTAGATTATAATTGCCTACCATGTAGGAATTAGGAAAAGAGGGCAAGTACAAAGAAAGAAAAAGCGTGGTAGTCAGCAAAAGGGTGAGCTCAGATGTGCGCTAGCTTCGTCCGAGTGGTCAGACGATCGTGGCGACCCAACACCACAAGAAGGCACTGCTTTCGTCATGGCAACCCCAGGAATGCACCAGCCGGGAATCGAACCCGGGTCTGTACCGTGGCAGGGTACTATTCTACCACTAGACCACTGGTGCCTTATGATGTGCATCACCTTTTTAATAAATGTCACGTTGACGGTGGATAGCATTTTGTTCTAGGGATAATTTTAGAAACCTCCATTGAGATTTTTAATAATTTCATTTAGTTGTCTCAAGATTTTAAAAATTACACATGCCTTTCATATCATTCAAAATGACAACACTATCCTTAACTATTTTAATGAAATTTCCTTGTTTATATGCTTATACTTAGAATGACTTTTAAAATTATTTTTTTCATTCTTTATCCTTCTTATTCCTTTTTTTTTTAATTTTTTACCAATAAAACTGTATAGCTACCAATATTACCTTTAATTTTTATTGTATCCAAAATCAAACTAGTGATTTTTTTGATGAGTTAATTTATCTGTAATCTAATGTTTTTGTTGATCTTTATTTTCTATTTTTATATTAAAATTAACAATAAATAAAAAAAAATGGCCCAAAATCACTACTAAATTATGATAATCTCAGTACTTGACAATTTCATAAATTCTGAATGAATTATTTCAACATTTTCTTTTTTATCTTATAAATCTAAATATAGAATAAAATACCATAAAAAATATCCTATCATAGTGATAAAATTATTATTATATTTGTTTATCGTATAGTAGGTATGAATATGAAAATTTTGGTATCTTTTTCTTATAATTGTATTAGATAAACTTATAATTATAAATACAAATAAATTAAAACTCATTACACAAGACCATTTATGAATATTCATTTAAAAATTTAACCATTGTGGTAAGCAAAAAGGAGAGCTCAGATGTGCGCTAGCTTCGTCCTAGTGTCAGACGATCGTGGCGACCCATCACCACAGAAGGCACCGATTTCGTCACGGCAACCCCTGGAATGCACCAGCCGGGAATCGAACCCGGGTCTGTACCGTGGCAGGGTACTATTCTACCACTAGACCACTGGTGCCTTTTGATGTCCTTCGTCAGTTTTTATAAAATTTAAGTTTGATGTTGGATATCATTTTATCTTATCACACCATCATGGCCGTGAGGTGTCTTCTACTTCTTCTTTTTTTTTTTTTTCTTAAGGCAATTAGGTATCTTAAAAAAAAGGTACAAATTACCATAATATATGATAAATGACAAATTGTATTAATGAAAGAGATATAGACTACACTAAAAACTTTGTTGCATTTGAAGGGATTTTGATGCTCTTTTATTTGTACTGGTGTAAGGGCACATTTAATGTGTGTGCAATTTAAAATATTTAAAATGAATTAATTTTGTATGATTTTGCTTTTTTTTTTTAACATAAATTATATTCATATTATTTTTCTAAAGAACTTTGATTTATAAGGTTACAATAATTTAATTGTTATGATACTTAAAGCGATTGTGGATTATTATTACAATACTTTAAGTAGGTATGAGTAGTTATGTTGGGAGAATTGGATTAGGTGAATAAGGTAAAAATTAGTACTGTTATCAGTATAAGAGTATAATTAGGACCCTCGAGAACTAATTAATTATTGATTCGAAACCAAGGCCCGCAGTGGAAACCCCTATTTGGCAGCAGAAGACGCTCAAGCTCAAGCTCAAGCTCAATCTCAGTGGCATTCTCCACGAAACTTCTCGCTGACGACGTCGTACAAAAAAGTTGTACCTCAAATCAGCAGGTAAAAATGCACAGGTCAAGCATCATAAGAATAGTTTACATGAATCAGTGATCATTAATCTATTTGGGGTCGAAATTCATAAACAAGACTAATTTGTTTAGCTATTCATGGAGGCGTTGTTACTAGCACTATGCTTATTATGTTTATGAAGCGCTTGTTGAAATTCCCCTGAGAATGTTGAACCCTGTGTAACTACTGTAAACACCTTGCTTATCAAACACTTGTACCAAAATTCGTGCCTGTATTAGCACCTTGTTGGATTTTACGTACAAAGGTTCGAGAAATGGTCAGTGGCTTACCTTTTCTTGAAGTTGTTGAAATGGAGCTTTCTGGTTGGGATATGTAAACGTAATTGCCAGTTTTTTGGTTCAGCGTGCCATCAAAGTCGTGGGATTTTGCTGTAATGTACCATGATAATGAAACGGCACGTATTATTATATGATTAAATCAAGAACCTTGACATTATTACCGCATTTTGTAGGTTGCAGTGGGAAGGAAAATGCTGCCTCAGAGGATGAAAAAGGTCATTACCGACAACCCAAAACAACTTGCTGACTTGATCGACCTTGTAAACCTGCCCTCAACGCTCAGAGAATTCACGGGCCAGTCGCAGACCTCGCGTTTGGGGTGCTTTACGCGTGTTTGGTCGTACATCAAGGAGAACAAACTCCAGGTTTGAGATTTATTGCTCAATGCCATTCCTTCGGTATTCACATTTATGTCTGGAAAATTTTTGAAACAGCATGGTTAAGCAGTTATGATGCAAGGTTGAATTACGAATCGAATGGTCAGGAGAAATACTCGAGTGCTCGTAGTTTTGATACTTTGGGTGTATCTTTTCTTTTTTTTTTTTTAATATTAGTTAACCTTTGCTTTTCTGTTGGTTTTCGTTAGGATCCAAATAACAAGAATCTGGTCAATTGTGATGCTAAATTGAAGCAAATTCTGTTGGGTAAAGGCCAAGTCGATCTTGCTGAACTTCCTATGCTGATTAAGCTGCATTTCCCGAAGCAGCAGAAATGATCTTCACGTTTGCAAGTCAAAGACGGCTGACACCAACTCTTGCTTTCGCATTCCTTTCTATAGATCGGATGAAAACAGAAAGTTTATGTAATAGTCAGATGGTCGAGGAATTATTTCTGTTAGTGGCGAGTTGGCAGGTTATCCTTTCCATCGCTGCCTTCAGAATTTTTCTCAAATGTTGTAGTTAGTAATATGACATACATGGATATCAGCTCTACATATATTATTGGTTATCGCTGCCGTCATGAGAAAAATCCCATTACAATGATAATGAACTCTCTTTGACTCTGGTTTTTAGTTTTTAACTTTTCATTGTATGGCTATACAGAGAAAGCATTGCGTTCAGGTGCTATTTGTTTTTTCTCCCTCTAGATTCTTTGCATCAGGCGTATCATTAACTGCTTAGAGTTTTCCTTTTTTTTTTTTCTTGAAAGAAACCTCACGAGAAAAGGTCAGAAAATTTAACTGATTCAACAGTTTGACAAATTAGTCAAGTTTTTCAATAATTGAACACATTAAAACATTTTCTGTAGCAAACAGTGCAAGAGAATTCTTTATGGCATGATGTGCTATTATGCCATTCGTTTTCTCTGTGGCATGAAAAGAATCCCAGAATGCATATTTGGTTGCATCTCTGCATCTGAAAGGGTTATACCTGTCACATGAGTAAAGCATCTCAAAAGTTCCAGTCCCGCAACATGCTGTTGCTGTGTCTTCAAATCCTTTATTAGGGCAACAAATTCAGAAGGCATCTTGAGATAGCGTTGACAGAAACCTGAATTACATGTCCTACAAATTTCAGGCAATTAGCTGTAATGTAGACGGTCTTCTATATTTGAAACAAATAGAGTAAGGACGATGAAGAGAAGAAACAATATGGAAAACTAGAAACTGCAAAATCAAGTGGGGGAGGGGGAGGTGAGTATGCTCCTGCTTAAACTTTGTACATCATTTTATTGAGTTTCTTTTCTAGCTCAAAGATTCATCCAGTGTGAAAGAAGGATTGACCAGGTAAACTTTGGATTATGATTTATGTGATGGTGTAGAAGTCTTTATTTTCTTAATGGCAGACGTTTCTTAGGATAAGCAACATATTTTAAAATGAGAGATATTTTGTTTACATTGTTGTCTTTTGAACATTAAAGATCTCATACTATCTTGGCAAAATCTACACAGGATGAACATCCTAGAGTGAGCATTATACTAATGCTTGATTTGTAATTAATTTCTGAATTTATGCCTGATGCTTTCTGGTCCTGTCTATCTTGGAATCTACTGTATCTTTTCAAATGTTAGCCTTACTATTTTAGCAAATTATAATTGTTGCAGTTGACTTTGAAAGTCTGAAACCTCCAGCAATGGAAGGGTTGGATGCGCTACTAGCTGTGAGTATACCAATGTCCTACCTAATTCTTTTTGCAAATTTCTTGGATCATTCACTGATAATTCTCACTTTGTTATTGCATTTATGCAGAAGAAAAAGCATACACCGAAAAGTGAACTAGAACAAAATGGTGAGACTGTTATTGATCTAGCTACATATTTTGTGTTTCTTCCCTCTTTTCCTTGTTTAGAGACCTGAGTTCGTAAAGTTCATATCTGTTCTGCAATTCAGGTATTCCTCAGTTGCAGTCTTCACCATCTGCTAATTGGTTTTCTTCATCAAAGTCTGCAAAGAAGGTGCATTGTAACAATTACTTTGTCTCTAAAGGATGAAATATTGCACTTTTTCCTATACTTTTTGCATCGATACAGTTTACACGATCCATGTTATTTAATTCTTTGCATTTTCTGTTCTCTTTATAGACTTTTATTTCTAGTGTTGGGTAAACTGTTTTACAATACTCTCTATTATGTTTCAAAGTAATGTGATGCAACGAGATGATAAACAGAATGGATTTGGGGCTGTAGAGAGGTCAGACTGGAAGATTTGATATTTCGTGTGAGGACATTATCGAAGCTGCCATAGGACTCTAGTACATGACAAGATGACGAAAAAGTTTGATATGTACCGTAGTACATCAACTAGTATGCTAGTAGGACTTGAACACTATTCCACAAAGAGCACTTCTTAATGTGCAAGAACTTGTCTCTTGATGATTAAATTTGCATCATTAACAAATGGCCATTTGTTTGTAAACACACTTTACTTATTGTTTTGGGTCCTATAATGAGCTTTGCTTTTGCTTTGTGTCCTGTCAGGTGTCTCTAAGCTGTGTTACATCAATTATTGATGGATTGAAGAAGTTGTACGTCCAAAAACTGAAGCCATTGGAAGCAACATATCGTTTCAATGATTTTGTTCCCCCTTTGTTGGTGAGTCATGCATCTGCTTTGTTCTTCACTTGAGGGATTGGATATGGTTGTGATTCAATTGTCTTAATTAACTGAAATCATAGTTGACTGGATTGTTCCTTTCCCTAGACAAATAGCGATTTTGATGCTAAGCCCATGGTGATGGTTTTTGGGTCAATACTCAACTGGGAAAACAACATTCATTAAACATCTGCTCAAAACGAGTTATCCAGGTATATAGACCTTCATGCGGAGTCTGCGTATCTACTCTAATATCTCCTCAGAAGATAGGACCTTTCTGATCATTTTATGCGTTATTTTCACAGGTGCTCACATTGGACCAAAGAAATATCACAATTGTACAGAGAAATATCACGATTATGTTTATCTCTCGTTTGCCAACAGGTTCAGAGGGAGTTCCATCTGCCAGCAGGGGATTTTCCGAATGTTGAACACTTTCGGGAGGTCCTGAGTGGATATAGCATTGATAAGTTCGAGAAATTGAAGCCTAAAATGATACAATCTGTTGATGATATGCTTGGATACGATATCCCAGAACTTCTCAAGAATTTCCGGAATCCATATGATTGATATGCATATGTCTGCTATCAAATTACAGCAGTTTTTTTGGGTAAGAGAAATCAGAAGAATATTGCTGACGATTTGCTAGATTGGCCGCCCACACGTTCAACTTCTTCTGACGCATAAACATGATTTATGCGGAAAACTACGACGCTGTACGCTTCGATTAGGCGAGCTAGTGTGAAATTAGCAGTGACATGAATAATTATTCAGATTGTATTGTCTTTTGATTTTCTTGGCATTCTTACAAAAATAATATATAATTCCATTTACAAAACTGATATAGTTCCTTCCCAGAGACTGCTGCTAAGCTCAGCGTTTTCAAGTACATTTCCTTTTTCTCATATACATGGCGTAAAAGGAAACAAGAGAAATCTTAACAAAGATACAAAATTTACCAAGATTTGCCTTCTCATAATTGATGGTATTCCACTCTTCCACCGCGTAAGCGTAAGAACATACCAAAAAATATTAATGCTGCTCAATATTTTGTATTGAGAACATACCAAAAGATGGCTGGAGTCCGAATATGTTGTATATGTAAACGATATCATACCAAATTTACGTTATCACCGTTTCCGCCCTATTCAATAGATATTCACCTTCTCTGTGGTCACCAAATATGTCGTTTCTTAGATCGACAAAAACCCTTTTGCATCCAAAGAAGGCCTTGAAGGATCTGATGGCCAACGTTGGAGCCAAAATACACCAATTTATGATGGCTTGCAACTTAGGCAAAATTTTCAAAATCGACAGAACCTCTAATCCGCCCACCCCTCGTGTTTCCGTCTCTTCTCCTAGCGAAAGTGATCACGCCGATCATACACCGGCTGCAATTCATTCACCAAAGAGTGTACCACCAGTTTTCTGTCCACTTCCCATTCAATACTCAACAGATTCTAGTGGTGCCGACGACACCGAAGACGAGGAGGAAGATGCAGAGGAAGAGGAAGACGAGGAGCAGGAGGAGGAGGAGAAGGAGAAAGAGAGTCATGTGTTGGACTATATTGTAACGTTTCCTGACTCCGACTCCGACTCTGGTGCTGATGAATTATCGAAGGTGCCTGAAGGGTGCTTGTGTCCTGATCAAGAATATACCGTAACATTTCCTGACAGTACCGACTCTGAGTCTGAGTCTGAATCTGATGCGGAGGAAGAGCAAGTGTTTGTCCATAAAGATGACTGCTTGAATTCTGATGATGGTGATGACCAATTTCACTTTGTGACGCCTCATCAAGAGGAGGACATGTATGCTCATCAGCACTGTGGGTTCCAATGTCATCATCACGATTATCATGGGGGCCGTCATCATCACGACGAAGGTTATGGGTACCAATATTATGGCTGGACAGGCTTTTACGGTGTTAGACAACCTCCATTCGGATTTACTACAATCTTCTTCCATTACTGACCCCCGATTTGATAGCATTTTATGTTTTTGTTTCGGGTTTTGCCCTCGGGATTTTATTGCGTTCTTTTCATCAGGTTCAGGATTGCTGGTTTGATTGAGCTACTTCATTGATTTGAAGCGTGTACTTGTGGGTTATGTCTGCGCATAAAGTGCTAGAAAAATTTTCTCTATTGCTTGCTTCATATGCTCTGCTCTGATCTGTTAATTTGACGTTACTAAGTGATTGTATGGGGTTTGCATGAATGCGATGACAATTTGCGGTCAGCTCTCTTCCTTCCACAGTGTCAAAACCCAAAAGATACATTCAATTTAACGTCAAATCACTTCTAAACATTACACACAGTTCAAGGCCTCACTATATATAGATGCTGAAGACTCTTGCTGCACCTGAAAATATGGCGAATTTGAACGTGAAAATCTAAAATAACTTGGGTTTTGATAGAGAATGAGCATGTACTGAAACTGCATATAAATATAACGTATCAAGTATCACGAAAATCAGAGAACAAAACAAGCCATTGAACTCCTACCAAATTCTTTTGGATTTTGAATGATTTCTGAAAAAATTCCATATGGGTTGGAAAACACCGGTATCAATTTGACCCTTTTTTCTTCTGATCTTTTTTTTTGTTTTCATTAAATAATGAAGAGATCCTAAACCTTACACAAGGAAAGAGGAAGGTGGAGGATTTGTGACTGAAGCCTCATGATTTACCTAATTACTAATATCCTTTTGGTGATCGTTTAGACCTTGACATCTATTTGTTAACAATGTAGTAACAACAGAAATTTTAAAACAAATGGCGCCAATTCACCTAATAATAATGTGTTAGCTTTAAAAAGATGGTGCACCAATTTACCTCTATCTAAGAGACTGGAGCAAAACTAGTTCACAAAATTTTCTCCTGTGCTAAACTACTCCAGAACTTTTTTGTCAACTCCAGTAATGATTTTTGTCAAGCAATTAACCCTAATCCCAGATTAACCTCCAAAAGCCGGCAACTTTTGATGGCAATCCAGGGACTTAGCTAGGCCTGTAGAGCACCTGCTGCTAAGTGTTAACTAACACCCAATACTCCAGAATTTTCAGTTGTTTGTTTTTTTTTGTCAACTCCAGTAATGACTTTTGTTAAGCAATTAACCCTAATCCCAGATTAACTTCCAAAAGCCAGCAACTCTTGAAGGCAACCCAAGAACTTAACTACCCAACCCAAACCAAACTACTCCAGAACTTAACCGAGTAAATTTACCATTTCTTCCTATAAAAAGTCGAAAACTATGCATTTTTGCTTGAGCGTGCCAGCAATCATCCATCTCTTTTCTAATAATTTCAAGAAGACCTTTGACATTTGAGATTGTTTGGACTGCATTTTTTAGAATGTTTTTAAAGAAAAAATGTAATATTGTGTTATAGAACGTTTTAAAATATGATGTATGTAAAATAAAAAAATAATTTAAAAAATATAAAAAAGATATTAACAAAAAAATTCCTAAAAAGTAGCAATCTAATCGACGCAACATAATGGTACGTACCAAAATTGGCGCCAGCCCACATTTACATCGGTGGTACGCTTATGAACTTTGTAACGCCTTTGGCCCAATCACGTCACCACAAGTTCCAAGCTTCTCGATGCTTCTAATCCAACCTCTTGCTAGAACTCCAACAACTGGACGTTTCTACCCCCGTGAATCGTATCAACCATTCGAAAATTCCCCAAGGCAGATAGGATTTTTTTTTTCCTTTTTTTTTTTAATTTTACTATGTTGATTATTCCTTTTAATTCTTGATTCCCAGTATGCCTACAGAAAGAGTATATATTAACTTTAGTCCAACTAGTTACAACTTGGTACATGGTATCATATTATCACTTACATTTTTTATTAGAGAGGATCGACAATAATTTTTTATTTTCTCATTTAATGATCCAAACCTGTTACCTCTTTTTAATAAAAAATTTTATCAATTACACTGCATTTTATTATTTATATACTCTTAAGAGAGTACGAATATTTCTTAAAAAAAAAAGAGAATATAAATATAATTATTTTAATAAATATTTTTTTCCCAAAATCTCAAGTATACTCTCCTCTTCTTTTTTTTTTCTTCTTTTTTAGTGAGGAGAATCTTAAGAATTATTTAACGTGATTTACTTGCAGGAGTATTTGGTTTTGTGAAAGATTTTACCACATAATAATCACACAATATTTCAAAAAAAAAAAAATTCAAGTGCAATAGAACTGAGGTTATTTTTGTCATTCAATAATGACTTCCTTCTCTCCAACCTTCCATCCAAATTCCAAAGTCCTAACCTTTTCTTTCTCCCCAAGCACGCCTCTTCTCCTTGCTTTTCTATCCCTGTTTCCTCAAGGCCTTCTCCGTCATCTTCCTTCTTACAGCTTTTGCCTTTTATAATCTTAACTATTTCATCCCGAATTTTGCCCGAGAATCCCAACTTTCAGTCATGTTGGTGAGTAGAATTGCAGCTCGTTCATCTCGAACCATGGTGACTCAGTGCCGCAACTCGTTGCTTCTCTTGGCTCGCCAAGAGCAACCATTTGTCCCCATTCCCTCCAGTCAATGCCACTCCCTTATCGAACCCCGAAATAAGGTCTTCTTCTGATCCAATTTTGACATTGGTTTACGTTTTTACGGGTTTTAGTGAAAAGGGTTTTGCTAGGGTTTAAGCGGTCATGTTAGTTAATTTGACCATTTGTTATTCTCTTTCCTGATGTCTGACTCTCTCAATTGTTTTTGATGATTTTATTTGATCTTTTATATGTCTTGCTGTTGTTTCTTTTGTTAAAGATTAAATTTTTATGATTCGTTTGAATATAGATAGGATTTTTCAGTTCTTTTGTTGTAAATGTTCAATTTTTGAGATTCGTAATGTTCTTGTTTTGTTTAGTTTGGAATTTTTTTAGTGTAATTGTTTGACTTGTTTATTGTTTTTCAACCTTTGCTTAGATTAAACTCTCCCTGAAAATGTAAGCTTTTAAGTTACCAAAGTTTGGCTATCACTTTTGCAGTGACGTTGTCTTGTTCTGGTAAATTCATGCACTAATCAACAGTTGTTCTTAATTATCTATTGGTGTAAAACTGTTACCTGAAGTTTTGTTGCTTGATTATACTTTTTTGGTTGAAGTATAATAATTGGTTTAAATTGGATGAATTCCACGTAGAAGGGTTCTATTTTGTGTTTTTTAAGTAGGGAGTTTATTACGAGAAAAAAGCAATAATGCAGCTTATTTTCTTGCTCCAGGTGGTTTCAGGGCAAGTGGCTTTATTACATCGCTCCTTTCTGAATGGATCTCCATTTCAACTGTTTGGTTTTTCATCATCTGCTTCCCCGCAACATAATGAGAAGGATACAGCACAACCCCGAGCAGAAAATGGAAGTGATGCTGCTGCTGCAGGAACAAGTACAGAAACAGAAGTTCATGAT